GTGTACCAGGACGAAACAACCCTTTGGAGTTCGGGTTGTTTCTCTTTGGCTATGCCCCAGGCCTGCCTACTGAGTCAGAATTTGGGGGCGCAAATTTCTGGCATGTGTAGCTCAGGAAGAGCCTTAGGCCACCTCTTGCATGGGTGCCAGGGCATTTTAACACTCAACCTCTCATAGACTCAGCTCAAAGGGGATCAGTGGTATAACTGAATTTTGTTCTCATTAAAATAATTTTAATGTGAGCAATCCTCTCTTTCATTTAAAAATCTTAAGATTGCCAGTGGGGGATATGAAAAAAATAAGTACATGCCACAGTGAAGACATGATTCAATAACTTGGCACATGTGTGGCCATTTCAAAGTTGTGACTGTGGGCTGAGGTGGCGGAGCATGGAGTCTTGGTGGCTGTGAGGGGTCTGCCTGCAGGGTGAGCCCCTGTACCTCTGATTCATAGGGATGTCATTGGCCAGTGCTACCTCCATACATAATAAAAATGATGATTTTGAAGAATAATTGAAAGCAGGAGATAATCTGCTCAGTGAGAAGTACTGAGAAGGATTGGTATCTATGAAGCTATAGATACCAAATATGATTAAAATTGTAAGACTATATGAGTTTCTATACTCACAGGAATGCAACATTCACCGCATCGGGAAAAAAGGCAAGAAATTATAGCAAGGTAGTAGCAACGGTCATCTTTGGTGTTGCACTTCTAAGAAACTTTAATTTTGTTCTCTATTTCTCCATAGACAAATCCAACGTCTACTATAAAGAAAAGCAAATATTCCATTCAAAAATGACCCACTTGTTGGCCATTGGTTGCTTAATCTTACCCGATCCTTCTCTTTCTTGTGTTCTTGATTTAGAGCTTGAATTCGAGCTGTCCATTTGCTTTCCTGTAAAACAGGAAAATAAGAGTCATTTAAGTACAGGGCCCTCCCTGGTGGCACGAAGGGTGAAGTCTGCGAACTATGAAGCTGCGGCAGCCACTGCAGCCTGAGTTCGAGCCCCGACCAGGGAGCTGACTGATTTCACTGAAAGACACACATACTTCTTCTGTACATGATGTTACTGTCAATGGCTTCACTAAAAACCAGTAGGCCTCTGGGACCCACTTTTATCACATCTGACAATGCCCCCTTTTACATACCTGACTATCAAGAAGCTGCATCACGTTCTGGAGATCGTGGGGGTACTGTGGACAGTCTTCTTTAAAATCGTGGGCATCTTTTAACATGCCTAAGTTGGACTTGATGTGCACACTGGACTTCTGGATTTCTGACAATTGCTAAAAAAAAAAAAAAAGAGGCAAAATCTGGTACAAAGGCTTATACATCCATAAGAACGAAACAGAGTAAAATTGGGGAGCACGTGGCCTTGGCTTTAAGTCTGGTGTCCTACTGGGCCCTCCTGGGATCCTACTTCACTTGTGCAGTGGTGACCCACTCTCTGTTTCCTGCTTCTAGTCCTTCCCACAGAGCAAGAATAGGGTGGAAAGGGGGGAGGAACATTTAACTTTTCAGTCTCAGACTGCGGCACTTAAACATTTCGATGGACATGGAATCGTGGCCAGAGATGGGGAACCCCAGGGTGACTCAGTGACATGGCCAGCATCACCAGGGACTGCATCGGGGATCCCTCAGGGACAGAGCATTTTAATTTCACCCTTTGTTTGTATGTTATCCCCAAAGAGACGGGTGGTAACTCAGAAAAGCCCAGAAGCTTAATGCTAAAACAGGAGAGTAGGGCGCAAATTTCATTGCCCCTGAAGTGTAGGGTACACACAGTGACGTCCTTTCAAAGAGGATGGTGGAAAACAGGGGTTGGGGGGTCACTTTCAGTGGAGAAACCAGACAAACGCAACCTCACCCAGGTACTCGAGATTAAGTAACAGTCACAAATCATGTAGATGCCCGGATATGTCCTGATCAAAACTGTCTTTTACCTCCGAGGTCTTAATCCCCAAAACCATTGAGCCCTGTCTAACTGTGAGGAAAATGCCATGTGATTCCAACAGAGGGGCACCGTGCCTACCGTCTACCCGAAAAACACATTCTGCAAAATGCCCAGGCCGTCAACAAGTCTGAGAAAATGTCACAGACCGGAGCATCAGGACACACAACTAAATGTGGCCTGGAGGGGCATCCTGGGTCAGGCGAAGGCCAAAGAAACTGAGATAAGGTCTGAGCTTTAGGGCCTCCCTGGTGGTGCGGGGGTTAAACGCAGTGTTATCAAGCTATGCCAGCCACTGCGGCTAGTTTGTTCCTCCACCAGGGAGCTGACCCACATGGCACAGCACACCCCTTCTGAC